TCATTGACAGTATAATTACGTTAATTTACTGTCTGTGACAGCACAATTACGGTCAACGTTTAGCGGCGGACGTAAAAAAAAAAAAAAAAAAAAAAAAAAAACTTAAAAAAACACTAAAAAAAGTCAACGCCGGATAATTTGTGAAATTTGGGGTCAAATTGAGAATAAATTAAGTTAAGGATGAAATTGGAGCATATTAAAGTATCCTAAAAAAAGTCAAAATTGAATTTTTGTAGTCAAAATTGGATTTTTGTGGACAAAATTAATTAAATTGGGGTTACAATTAAGAATTGAGTATAAATGGTTGAGGGTAATATTGGGATATATACATGAATGTTTCCTTTATTTATAATAAATTTTAAAGGGATGAGCTTATTGTTAAAAGAGACATAGCCCCTAAATCTATAATAATAAAGATGCTTGGTTGGCGACTTATGTACAAAAATCCCTTTAATATAAGCATAGCCAAACGATAATATATTTAGCAAAATAAAATTTCGGATAACTTTGCAATTTAACAAGTATGATATAAATCATTAGTAGAAGAAAGGTTACGATTTTTGGAGTAATATGTACCTCGGCCCATAGAATTAAGTGAATTAATCACTATTGGAGTACAATTTTTGCTAATTGATTAAAATTTTATACATAACTTAGTGATTCATATTGACTTAATTGCGTTCACTCTTGAAATGTAGTATTTTGGCTCTTTGCTCCCTTGAAAACAATTAATAGCAAGAAAAAACAACAAATCATTCACAATGCACACTGAATAGAATATGTAAAACTTAATGCGAGTAAGTTCAATATGTATTGGTTTTTGATTTCCATGTTACTAAATTGTTATAATCTTCTTATTCCCACAACATAAATTCGAAGAGCGTAAAAAAATAAAATAAAAAATCACAAAGAATTACAGAAAAAAATACTTAATTTCTTATTAAAAGAAATATTTCTCAGTAAATTATTCGATTGATGGATCTTTTACGTACTGTAATTAATGAAAGTAATAATGATGGTAATTTTAATTTTAATCTATATTTTTTTTTTTATTTCCAGGGTGCTAAATTGTTATTTTCTTCTATCTCCAGCATAAATTCGAAGAGCGTAACAAAATAAAATAAAAAATCACAATGAATTACTGCAAAAAAAAAAATCTCAGTAAATTATTCGATTGATGGAATCTTTGAAAGATAATATAATTTTTAAATAAATTGATAACAAAATAGATGAAGGATTTGAAATATTTTTTCGTGTGATTTTCTTTTTAATATATTGATGAGATGTATTTTAATTTTTGCACTTTGTAGTTTCAAAAGGATTGACGAATATAATTTCTCTTTGACATTTGGCTTCCTAAAAAAATACCACTAAAAATATTAAATTTTTATTAGCTTTAAAAATTCATTCGATGTGTATTTTCAATAATTTATTATGTTTCAAAACTGCAAAGTGTTATTAATTTTTTTTCGAGAATGCAAAATGCCAAATATATATATATATATATATATATATATATATATATATATATATATATATATATATATATATATATTCAATATATATATATATATATTGATGATGCTAATATGTAGCTCACCTAGGGTGTTGTAGAAAATGAACTGGGAGAGCAAAGCGGATCAGTAGCTTGACAACTTGATGATCCTGAGGTACCTGCGAAATGAGCACACGTGAACTACGCCGGGGGTTGATCCGGCGGAAACCCCTCCGACGCTCAAGTCAGACGTGCTGATAGTGGAAATAGTCCAGAGAATACAGTTGATAGTATTACTCAGTTAATAGGACCTACCTTAATAAAATGAGTAAAACCTCTATTTATATGTCGTTTATTGGGTTGGGTTTGCTTTGTTGGGCCCAAGCCTTACTTGAAGGTGTTTGGGCCTCGGTGATATTGGTCTTCGATATTGGGCTCGTAGCCCAGTAGGTAAAGAAATTGTAGGCCCAGTAGGTAAAATCGCGCACGCGAAACCCAAGAAAAAGAAGAAGATAAAAAAAAAAAAAAAAAAAATTCAAGCCAAGCCGCGCCATCGCCCAAGCCGCGCGCGCCATCACCCAAGCCGCGCGCCACCTTCTCCTCGGAGCGCGCGCGCGTCAGAAAAAGAAAAAAAAAAAAAAAAGGAAGGAAGCGCGCGCGTGCACAGCACGCGCGCGTGGAGAACACGCGTTTGACGAGCGCGCGTGCACATCCCGGGGGGGTCAGCATTTGAAAGAAAAAAAAAAAAAAAAAAAGAGGGCAAGGAGGCGCGCGGGTCAGCATCAGAAAGAAAAAAAAAAAAAAATAAGAGGGCAAGGAGGCGCGCGTGCACAGCACGCGCGCGTGGCGTACACGCGCCAGACGCGCGCGTGCACTGCACGCGCGCGAGCAGCAAAATAAATAAAAAAAAAAATGGGGAAGAGGAGCGCGCCTTCCCATGCACACGCGCGCGCCTTCCAAGGCAACCTTGGAGCGCGCGCTCCCATCTAATTGGGCACAACTTTCACCGCCCTCCACCAATTTGCGCGTAGGTTTTGACTCGTTTCACCAAATCGCACGAGAATTTCAACGCGCTCCACCAAATTACGCGAGCTTTTTAACGCACCTACCAAATTGCGTTCGCTATCAAATGGAAAAAAAAAAAAAAAAAAATTATTTCTCCACACCATGCCAACGATTAACGCATGACTACAGCACCAATCTACTCTCGACAAGATCCGGTACCCTTTTCAACGTGGCTCCCACATCATCTCGAGAGTGGGGGGCTTGCGAAACAACCTCTTACAAGGAAACTCCCACGAGGAGACCATTCGCTCCGTCCTATAGCCCGTTGGGACAACTCCCACGAGGAGTTAACCCCCTCTAGTTTCAAAACTACAGCGATATAACTCCCACGAGGAGTCCACTCGCTCAATCCTACAACCCGTTGCAAGGCAACTCCCACGAGGAGCC